CTATATAGCCGTTGGGGGAGGTAACGGCTCGCTGAGCCGCGTCAAACAAATGACGCTTCTGGGATGACACCGGGGTAACGCCGCCAGGGGGCGGTGTTTAACGCCCCAGGGCGTTAAAAGCTCCCTTACGCCGACGGGCATTAAGGGTATACCCAGTGCCCTTAGTATTCCATTTACGAGCATTTTTTTAAGTCTATTTTCCTTTGTCCCAATTTTATTTTTTTTATGATTAAAATAATTTTCAATTTAGTTTATATAAAAATTAAGTTCAAATTAAAAAAACTACTCCGTATATGAAAAAAATCTAAAGAATAAGAAACGACAACACTGTATTGTTTTATTTATTAAAAAAATTAATAAAATAAACAAAAAAACATGAAATACTCCTTTCGCCCTACAATTAACTTCTCATTTGAACTTTTATAGTTTCTAATGCAACATTTTGACTACTAATATCTCTATTTTTATATAAATATATGTTATAAAAATAATATATTTTAAAACTATGTTTCAAAATTAATATATTGATAAAATATAATATACTCCCTCCGTCCCAAAAATTTCGACACGTTTTGAAAAAACCACGTCCCGTAAAGTCCGTTACATTTCAATTAAAAAACTACTTTTACCCCCTACTTTTTCATACCTTACCTATCACATCATACTTTTTTCCTAATAATCTACCCATCACATCCTATTTTTATATATCACATCAAAGGATACCAATCTTTTTGGGACGGAGAGTCAACACCAAAATATTTTGAAAAGTCAACTCCAAAATATCTCTCCCTTAATTTCCAAAAAGTCAATATATACCAATCTTTTTGGGACGGAGAGAGTTTAATTTAATACGGAGTATATTATTTCCGTAATATACGGTCAAAATTTAAAAAAATTAACTGCAAAAGTCAAACAGAGAAGTAAATTTTAGGTGAATAGAAAAACAATTACTATATATTAGATAGAGAGTACACATTATATATATATATATATATATATAAATAATTTATTCAAAAACACACGTACAATCTAATTTTCTTGAACTAGTAAAGAAAATAAATACTCCGGTATGACGTTTTCCGATGATTCGATGATTAACGAAAGCAGATAGGAAACCATTTTACGGAGTGTGTTTCTACGGTATTATAGAGCTTTACTGGGAGAGAAAAAAACATCAGCTGGAATAGCTCAGTTGGTTAGAGCGTGTGGCTGTTAACCACAAGGTCGAAGGTTCAACCCCTTCTTCTAGCGTTTAACATTTTTTCTTTGTTTTGAACAAAAATATTTATGAAACTAAGGAATTTTTTCAAATTGGTCTTCAATAAAAAATAAATATCAATATATCCTTTTTAAATTTAGAACTTTTACCTAAATACTCTTATGTCAAAAATATTTATTAAATAACAGTTAAATTGGAGATATTTTTATATTTTAATCATTTAAATTATGAAAAAACCCTTAAAATAGTCGTTTCAAATTAATCGTTCCTTTTGTTACTATTTGGTTTTTTACGGTATTTTTTACGGAGTATTTGATATTTACAATTTTATATTCTCTATTTTTTGGATATTTTCGAGATCAATACAGTACTTGATGACCTCTATATGCTTGGTTAGATCATGCTATCTATGTTATTCTTTTGTCAAGATTTCTTATTCTTTTATTACCTTCGTCCCGTAAAATTTTTCCGGTTTAGACTTTTGAGATAAAAAACTGTAAAAGTTTGACCAAATTACAACGACGATAATTGAAAAGAGTATGACTCCGAGAAATATCAAAATAGATAGGGTGTAGAAGGTAGTTGGGATATGTTCAATAATTTTAATAAAAGTAAAGGTAATTGTGTCCATTTGATTGAAATTGAAATATTTTATGTGACAAGCAAAATGTAAAAGTTAAAAAAATTTACGGGATTAAGGAAGTGCAAAAGAAGAGATGACATTATTATACCATTGTCGTGGATCGGATAAATTGTTGTATACATTTTTTGTCCAACAATATATATTACTCGTAGGACATATTAATGCGAAGTAATTTTTTAAATGTATAAAAATAAAATCATTGGTTAAATTTTTGTATAATTGATCATAGAAAACCAAAATTAACATCCATTTAAAAATATAAAGCATGCCTTCATACAAGGGATCGGATAATAACACATAACAAGAGCTCAAATAGTGTAGGACTACTTATTTAACCATTATCCGTAGAACAATGCTAGATTTACAAATAGAATGATCACAATCTTTACAAACTTATTATTTATAGTTTAAATTTTTATTAAAGTTTACAAATAGTAAATTTGTAAAGTTTGTGACTATTGTGTTTGTGAGCTAAGCATTTCTCTGACAAAACACACGTCCGTACAACCCGAACTCGTACATATTTATTTGCAGTGTATATAACACAAACTCAGACAAGTAAACACTACAATACATAAGCCACTGGTGGAAGCCGAACTTTATGCACACCTATCCGGCCAACACACGTTGTACGTACATACGACCAGTAATTAAACACGAATCATATAATGAAAGATTCGTACAGATTATAGTATTTTAACACATAATTATGACTTTTGTTTAATATATTAAAAATCCAATGAATATAGACATTGATAATGTCAACATTCATTCAAATTTTAATATACTGCTAAAAAAAATCATAATTATTGGGGAGTATTTATTTATGCAATTAAAAGAAGTGGTGCTTTTTCTTCCCTTCTTGGCCCGCCTCTTCTTCCTCTTCCTTGGTTGCCTTCTTCTCGTGATGCTCATGGAATGTGAAAGCACCCGACCCCACCGCGGCCGCTGCTGCAACCTCTTCTTCTATCCTGTGCCTCTGCCCGTGCTCTGGGTCTTTCTTTGCCTCGTGTTTCTCGTACTGCATGCATGCATAATTAAGTATGTTAATGGTCAAAGTATAATGTGAAATTTGCACTAAATAAGATTAAAACATAAGTCATTTCTTAAATAATGACTAGTGAGAAAAATAATGTCCAAGTGATGCTAGACATTTAGTTGAATAATGACTAATAGATAATGACCAATCATTGTACATTGAGAAATAAAAATATATGACCATATATTGATAAATTCATTATGTTTTAGTTCTATTTAGATAAAAGTTAGTTTTTTAAAATGAAATGATACAAGTTTTTTTGGGACGGATGAAAAAAAGAAAGAACAAATTTTTTGGGGGACGGAGGGAGTATTAAAAATTGTGATTGTTTGATTAAAAAATCAAAACCGAAAAATTGTTTAAGACGGGGAAGGAGTATAAAAAAGTGAGAAGAAAAAGGAGTATGATGATACCAAGGCGTAGGCACCGGCAGCGACGGTGCCAAGCTCGCCGAGCTGCTTGAGATGCTTGTGGTGTTTCTCCTCCTTTTGGTAATCCTCGTGGCTCCGACGACCTTTCTCTTCATCCTCGTCGTCACCTATAACTTCTTGCCGGCCGCCGCCACCGTAGGAGTCTTCAACTCCATAGTTATTGGTGTTCTGGCCGTAAGTGGCTGCGCCGCCGCCATACGACGACCCATAATCAGCAGCAGTGGGTTTCTTCTCGACGTAAGACGACGAGTTGTTGTAGTCGTAGTCGCCGCCTCCTCCTCCATAGTCTCCTGCCGATCGGAGGTACGGCTTCTGATCAGAAGCAGCATAATTAGTGTCGTCGTAGCTTTTGTCATAGGAAGGCTGCTGTCTTATCTCGCCTTCTTCGTTGTCTTTGTGGTGGCCGAAGTGGTGGTGGTGGTGGTGGTGCTTTTCCTCAGCCATGGGATTGGAAATCAATTTATGGTCGGAAATATGTTTTAAAAGATTTGCTAATTTTATTTGAAGGGTTTGAGTTGAACAATAATTCAATGGAACGATCCTATTTATAGTCACACCACAAATACTGATTAACTAACAGGAGTAATTACCCCAAAAATGCTAGGATACACAAAGTTGTATACCCTATCTTATAAACTACTCTTATCTCATTAGACATGCATTTATTGGTGTGGATAAGAAAGTTTGAGATTAAGGGTATATTTGTTTGAGGGAGAAATTTTTTTAAAAGAATATTTTCCAAAATAAAATGATTTTCAAGAAAACTATTTTTCAATTACGGAGTATATTTTATGTCGTTTGGTAAGAAGAATAATACTTTCTTAAAAAATTTGTTTATATTATTGATTTTTTTTTTAAAAAAAACAGTACTCCATTAAAAAAATATTTTGAAACAATTTGATATTACAGTAATACTTAAGTAGCATAGGGGACAACATATGATAGACGGGGGCAAGACCAAGGTTGGTTGGGCGTGGTTCATGGGCGGGTGCGTGGGGTGGGGCTAAGGGCGGGATGGTTGGCGAGTGTGTGGATGGGAGTTGAGAGAGGGTGTTGGCAGGAGGGTAAGAGGAAGATGAGTAGGGGTGCCTGAGGGTGATAGTGGATGTGGGGGGCGGGGAAGGACGTAGCGGGTGGTAGGCGATGGGGGACGGGGCGGTAGGGGTGGGGTGGGAGGGGAAGGGGGGCGTGGGAAACGCAGTAGGGAGAGAAGGAAAATAATTTTTTCATCACAAATGTTTTACTCCATTAATTGAGATTTTTAAGTTGTTCGTTGGAAGTGTTAAATTCAACACCAAGGTTCCCTCTACATTAACCGACAATGTCATGGGATCATCCGTTACGAAGGGAGCACTGGAGCGCGCCCGAGTCATCACATGATATTGCCGGATAATGTCATGGAAACCTTGCCAGACCGCTAGAAATGAACGTCGAAATATTAGCTCATAATCATACGTTCCTTTTTTGATTTTTTGAGGATTTAAGGAAGAGATATTTTTGTTTTGACTTTCCAAAAATATCATTGATGTGATGTGTAAAAGTAAGATGTGATATTTAGATTATTAATAAAAAAGTATGATCTGATAGGTAGGGTATGAAAAAATAAGGGGTAAAAGGGGTTTTTTAAGGGAAAAGAGAAGTTTATTTAGGGACAAAGAAAAAACGAAAGGGGAAGTTTATTTAGGGACGGAATGAGTAGTTTTTACGGAGTATTATTTTTTATCTGTCTAACCAATATCAGAATACCTCACTGAACATAAGATTAATGCCAAATTATATTGAAATATTTGCACTAAAATTTAAGTCATTTCCCTAAATAGCACTTAAATTTTTTTTATTCCCTAAATAGCACTTAATAATGTCCATAATGTCCTGTGATGTCGAATATTAACTTGAATAATGACTAATGCATAATGACTAAAAGTGCTACATTGGAAAAAAAACACATGTGGTGCTATTTAGGGAAAGTCATTATGTTTTAGTGCTATTTAAGTAAATTTCTTATTATATTTTTAATCTTTAAATTAACATCAACATGACAGGAGATTAAAAAAATATCATTTCTGAAAAGACATCCATAAAAGAAGGATTATAGGAGAAATATTTAATAAGAAATAACTAAATATGAAAACTTTATGTTATAAAGAATTAATTAGGAAATTTAATATAAAATTAAAGTATGTGGTCGAAATATTGTAAGACAAGCTAAGGAGTAAGTTAATTTAGAATACGGTCAAATTATTCATCTCATATTTAAAAATAGAGTATCTGTCAAGGCCGACATTGAGGCATTATATGTACGACGAACCTCAGTGGTTGTGCCGTGTGTCCACATGCCCATCGGCGTCACATTTAAGTTTCTTTGGAAAGAAAAAGAAAACGCAACTTGCAAACAATCACGAGAACTGTGGGTCGGATTTGATTTATGAGTGGTAGTTGTAATTACTTGGAAATTAATTAAAAGTCTGTCTATCTTTCAAGAATGATTTTGATTTGGATAAGGATTTTGTATATATGTGGCTTTAGCCTTACCAGGGGAGCTATTATCTGAGGCCATCATTTTATTTTCTCTTATTCATACACATCTTTTTAAAGATTTTTCTTAAATGGTATCATACATGTTTTTTTTAATGTAACACTTTTAGTTATTATCTATTCGTCATTATTCAAGTAAATATTCGTCATCGTTGGACGTTTTTTCTCCTTCTGAACATTATTAAGTGCTATTTAGTAAATAAAAGAATTTAAGTACTATTTAAGAAAATAACTTAAGTTTTAGTGTTATAGTACAAATATTTCTCTTTTTAATTACGGAATACTCCGTATTATTTTTCTTTTTGGGACCATTCTAAAACATTATGTTCATTTTCGATCTACACTTAAAGAAAATACTATGGAGTACTACGTTACGTTATTTATGCTCTATAGTATTTTTTCATGTAAATAAATTTGAATCCCGTGCACGTTTTTTAAAGAAATATTTACACTAAATAGCAATAAAATTTAAGTCATTTTCTTAAATAGTACTTAAATTATTTTACTCCCCCCGTCTACAAATAAACTTCCCATTACGTGTTATAATGTTTGACTAAAGTTATTTTCAAATCAATTTATATAAAAAATGGTTTAAAATCTAAAAATAAAAGTTACATATTAAAAAACTGTATCAAAAGATCTACAAAACTAGAGGTGACATGACTATATTATTTTATCAAATGAGTGACGAAAATAGGCCAACAAAGTGAATAAAGTTTGACCCTGTGAATAGTGAACGAGAAGTTTATTTGTGGACAGAGGGAGTATTTTCTAAATAACACTTAATAATGTTCATAATGTCTAGTGATGACGAGTATTTACTAGAATAATGACTAATGAATAATGACTAAAAGTCCTAGATTGGTCAAAAACACATGCATGTGATAATGTTATTTAGGAAAGTCATTATGTTTCAGTGATATTTATGTAAATTCCTTTTTCTTAATCTTAGTAACTCAATAGCTCAATCGTCGAACACATAATTAGTTCGAGCATAAAATGAATTATTGAATTTATAACTAGGACAATGTCAACGGATAACTGAAAATTCGATTACCGTCCGCATCCGTATCCGTTTAAAGAGGAAATATCCGCATCCGTTTTAAATGGATATTATATTATCCGTATCCGATTACTAAACAGATACGGATTTGGTAATTGTATATCCAATCTGTTTAGAATCCAATCCGAATATGTATCCGTTTAAATAACCGTTTATCCGAATATCCGATCCGTTATATATAGTTTTTCCTAATTTTTTTATGTTTATGTTTTGTTTCAATTCTTTATTGATATTTCAAAATATAAGACATTTTATATAGAAAATATAAATGTGTAGACACATAAAAATATGTAGAGACATATAAAAATATGTGTATATGTGTGCTGTGTATATCTTTTTATCATATCAATTTATCGTAGAATATCATAAATCATGAAAACAAAGAAAATAATTATCCCATCACAAATTATAGTTGATATAATAATAGGTTGACTTTAATCTAATTTAAAATTAAAGTATTGTTTAATTTGATTTTAAAAATTGAAAACGGATACAGATATATCCAATATCCGACCGATGTGGATACGATTTTGATTTTCAGTATCTGTATCCAAATTCGATATCCGACAAAAATAAACGGATACGGATTTGGTAATGGCACATCCGATTCGATTAATATCCGTTTACACCCCTATTTATAACAATGAATCCAAATTAATTATAGAAATATGTTCATTACGTGGTTAATTGTTATCCATATATACATAAATATCATCAATAATCACCATTCGCCACTTGCCAACCTTCACATTTTCCTTTCTTTTCACTATTCTATCTTTTCGTTTTCTCTCTAATAAAAAAAAGGACAATTATTTTCAAAGTAGATTTTTTTTCTTTTTTATTTCAAAGTCCTTGAATCAAAAGGTCATTTGTTTCGACACTTTATATAAACTGATTGGTAATTGCATGGGACAAAGATACAAATGTTGTGGTCGATTTATTGGCAGACGAGGGAGCATAAGTTTTAGAATGAGATTATCTAAGGAAGAGTGGGAGTGAAACATATGGAGGATAAGCTACGAGAAATTTAAGTGTTGGGGTGGTTTGGACACATAAAGTGTTGAAGTCCAGAGGCCCTGATGTGAAGTTGTGAGAGGCATACAATAGTGGGCGCCTTGTGTGGGGTGGACCTAAGAATAATTGAAAGGAAGTCATAAATTAGGCATGATCTGAGATTTTTAGCCCTTCTAAATGTGGAACATATGACCATAGTTTAGATAAAAGTGTATGCAAAGATAGAATTACAGCAGTTGGCTAGTTTTGTGCTCAAGTAGTGTCTCTTATTAGTACAACCTATTTGCCTTCTAGCTCGTAGAGGTAAGACCTGTGTACATACCCTTTTGAGACCTTAATTTTGGTGAAATAATTTTAACTTCATTGAGACACGTTTAGTTAGATTTAAGATAATTAAGACAATTGTGTCCATTTAGATGAAATTGAAATATTTTATGAAACAAATAGATAAGTATTGAAAGTTGAATTATTTGAAGGGGTATGAATGAATGATTATTGATCAAAATCGATCAAAATCAATAAATTTTGACTATAAAAATCAAAGCTAAGTTGTTACCGTAGGATGGGTGGATAATAAGAGTATTTTAGAGTTAAAAGTTTTGTTTAGACTTGTCCTTTGTCAATGTTTCATTCCAATATAGAAACACTTTTAAGTTTAAACATAAAACTGAAATTAATCAAACACTGTCAAAGACAATGTGTTCTTTGGCTATTATATTAGTGCTAATAACGAACTTTAATTTTCTTCTTGCTTGATTTGGTAGCTAGGAAGCACATCCTCCAAGATTCATGAAAAAATTTACTTATGTTCAATTCGATGAGAGGCAAAGACATTGGCTTTTTGTGTCTCATTAAATTAATAAAATAAGTTGGCACTCACTCTGTGTCTCTTTAGATTGATAAATATATAAACAGATATTACATTGTAATAAAATTAACAACATTCAAAATAAAATATTGCTAACAAAAGGTAATTAAACACGCACTCTTTTTTTATAAATTATTATTACGGAGTACATACTCCATATTAGGATAAGTACATACACGCAAAAGGATTATACAGAAGAGTACAACATACAAAGCATGCAGACAATGATAATTAGTGAAGCAACAAGCTGGTATATGGCTGGTCATATATATGACATGATGACATTATTTAGAAGCAATAATAATATGTATAATAATAATAATACTCCATCCGTAATAGTCAGTAATTACGGATGAATGATAAAGTGAAATTAATTAAGGTTGGTGGCAAACTGGCCATGGTGGCGGCGGTGGTGGTGGTGTTCCTCTTTCTCCTCCTTATGGGCCTCCTTCTTCTCATGGTGCTCATGGAACACAAATCCTCCGGCTCCGACCGCCACCGCCGCCGCCACTTCCTCCTCTATCTTGTGCCTGTGTGCATGCTCCCCCTCTTTCTTTGCTTCATGCTTCTCATGCTGTGCATCCGATCCGTATATATATCACCCACGCACCACCGTTAAGTAAGTGAATTCATGAATTTCCATTTTATTTATCTCGTCTTTTTCTTGTGCGTGTCACCATAAAAGTACGAGAAATTTACTCAAATATCACAAAAATATAATGATTTTCCTTAAATAACACTACATGTGTTTTTCTTCCTAATATGGCACTTTTAGTCATTATGCAGTAGTCATTATTCAAGTACATATTCGTCATCACTGATCATTATAGACATTATTAAGTACTACTTAGAGAATAAAATAATTTAAATGCTATTTAGAGAAATGACTTAAGTTTTAGTGCTATTTAGTACAAATATTTCCAAAAGTATGGAGTAATTAAATTCTTAATGAGACAAACGTGTGTATATATATATATGTGTGTGTGTGTGTGTATATATATATATATATAGTAGGCTATACTAGTAGCTCACCAGGGCGAAGGTTCCGGCAGCAGCGACGGCGGCCTCACCGAGGTGCTCAAGCTTTTTGTGGTGTTTCTCATCCATCTTGTGGTCAATGGGCCCCTCCTCCTCCTTGTGGTCGTGGTGGTGGAGGAAGTGGTGGTGGACGAAGTGGTGGCCGTGGTTCTCCTCAGCCATGGTATGATGATGATATGGGGGATAGATCAAACTAATTATGTTTGATTAATTACGTACGTAGACGAATTAAACTAGTCTAGTAGTACGTAGGAATGGTTGTAATTGTTTATTTTCTTCCTTGCTATTTATAGGCGATCGATCCTACTAAGTTTCTACATTTATATTTTTGTATGAATAGGACTAAAACATAAGTCATTTCACAATGTAAGAATTAAATTTTTTTATTTTCTAAATAGAACTTAATAATGACTAGTGAGAAAAATAATGTCCAAGTAATGCTGGACATTTAGTTGCATAATGACTAGTAGATAATGATCAATGATCCTACATTGAAAAATAAAAATATATGATCATATATTAAGAAAGTCATTATGTTTTAGTTCTATTTAAGTAAATTATCCTTTATTTTGAGATCTCCTCAAAAAGAAAGTGAGGTGATTAATTTGTAAGGAATGAAGCATATCAAAAGTTATTTGTAAAGTATCTTTGATTTTTTAATGAAATATATACACCTCCCAAATCTATTTATGAGTTAAAATGACATTTATGCACTTTCTTTCACTCGGTTATAAAGTTTCCTCTTTTATTTTCAAATTTTCTTGTTTATACAAATAAATAAAATAACATATACGTTCTAATCTAAAATTAAAAATTTTCATATATTTTTCAAAACAAAAGATTTTTTGAAGAGCGTTACAAAAAAATTGAAAAGAAGAAAAATGATATAAATATATTACTCTATACGAAGTAAAAGAAAAAAGGTTGGAAAAAAATAAAAAAACTTCCTTTTTTCTTTTACTCTGCATTTTATTTCATCTTTATTTTTTTTAGTTCGAAAAAATTATTTAAATTTTGAAAAATAAATAATTTAAAATCTTTAATCTGAGACGGACTGAGTATATGTTACTCCGTAATCTTTCATTTTATTCATTTAACTTTTACTTGAAACAAAAAGGATTTATTTTATTTTTTTCTTTCTTTTTCATTACTTTTTTCGATTTTTTTCTTTTACTCCGTACAAAGTATCACATTTCAATTTTTTTCTATTTTTCCTTTCTTTATGTAAAGTTCTCCCAAAAACTCGTTTGTTTTGAAAAATAAATTGATGAAATATTTTAATTTTAGATGGAGCGCTTATATGTTATTTTATTTATTTTTATAAAGAAGGAAAAAAGAAAATAAAAGAGTAAAATTTCATGTTAGAGCTGAGAGAAATTAAAAAAGGACATAAATATTATTGTTACAATGTAATTATTAACTCTCAAAATAAGTTGGAGGCTTATATGCATAATTCAAAAACTACTATTTCATCTCTCGGTATTTAAATCTAGTTTTGTTTTTTGCAATGAATCATTTTTAACGTTTGATCTATAATTAAATAAAATATACAGAGTATATTAATTATAGAAAGTAATATTTTTAAAATATTTTATATAATAAATCTAATAAATTTTTTTGTATCAATAACTTATACTACCTCTGTCCCAAAAAGATTTACACATTTTGACTAAAGTTGAAATTAAGGAAGAGATAATTTTGTGTTGACTTTCCAAAAATACCCTTGATGTGATGTGTAAAAGTAGAATGTGATGTGTAGATTATTAGGAAAAATGTATGATGTGATAGGTAGGGTTTGAAAAAGTAAGGGATAAAAGTGGTTTTTTAATAGAAATGAATAGGAGATTGTGGGACGCAATTTTTTTGAAAGATGTAAATCTTTTTGGGACGGAGGGAATATTATTTTTATTTAATTTATGATCAAAGTTTGTCAGTTATAACTAAAAAGTTAAAAATAAACTAATACTTAGAGAGGAATGTAATATGAAAATTATACAAACAAATTTTGAAAATAGAGATAGATTTTGGTACTACTGTAGTATGCAAAATCCGGCGGGTCGGGGCGTTTTCCGGCTAAATCCGGCGAAATGGACGGCGGGCACCAACTTCAATGCGGTCGTGGCATCCGGGCGACCTCCAAGGACCTCTCAATTGCAAGATTTGATGAAGATTTGCAAAACCCCCAATTTTGGATCCAATTTCGAATTTTAGGGTTTTTTCGAGTAGAAAAATTCAGATTCGAGAAGTTAGAGGCCAAATTAGACAAAATGGTTTGGATATTTTTGATACTCGTCTCAAGACGAAGAGAATGACATTGGTCCCGCCGGAATCGGAAAAAGTTCATTTTCCGGCGACTTTGACCGGCGGGCGGCGGCGGCGGGGCGTGGAAGAAAAGAAAAGAAGAAATGGGGTCAAATTGAAAATTTTAAAATATATAAAATTCGAATTTGGCCCTAATGACCGGAAGTTAACCTAGAAACGGGCTAATGGCTCATTGGTGAAAGGATTGTGTAAGTTCAGGAATTTTTGTGAAAGGATTTGAAGTTCAGGTACCACTTCGAAATTTCAGCTAAAGTTCATGTACCATTTGTGAAATTTACCCCATAATCGTGCGTTGCACGGAGCATATTTACGTTACTAAATTAAGATCGGTTTTGAATGATAGAAAATGATATCTAATAGAATATAGAGAATTTTATTATTTTAAAGTACAAATTTTTTTTGCTTTACATTTGAAAGACTTCTTTATAAAATACATTATTCGTACAATTTGTAGAATTTAACCGAATGCCTTTACACATTAAAAATTAAAACATTAATGTTTCACGAATTAAGATTATTAATACATGAAAATAATACAATTCGAAGTTATCTAATAAAATTTTTATAAAATTTATTCTTAGGAAAAAAGATATGAATATAGAAAATAATTTTTCACATACTTGTGGTCTTCCAATGTAAGTTTCATAATTTGCTCTTGTGCATGCATGTTTTACCATACGAGTTTCGAGTGGGCTCCAACTAACAACTTTTCCCAATTACATCTAAAAGTACCGAAATATAAGACAGAGGTATTAAAAAAACATAATATACATATGTGTAAGTAATTTGACTATAATAATCTAAATGACGCTTACTGTCAATGAAGCAACTCAACCAAAAGCTCAAGCTTGTGGTTGTGGCCTAAAAAGACTTATTTATATTCTAACACGCCTCCTCACGTGCAGGCGTAGTCTTTTTTTCGAGCCTTGCACGAGAAATCTTAATTTTTTTTGAAAACTGGGTGGCGCTGAGTTTCGAACTCGTGACCTCTTAGTCAATGAGGCTCTGATACCATGTCAAGGAACCGATTCAACCAAATGCTCAAGCTTGTAGTTGTGGCCCAGAAATGATTGTTATATACTCTAACACGCCCCCTCACGTGCAGGCGTGACCTTTTTTTTAGTCGTGCACGTGAAACCTTATTTTTTTTTTAAACTGGGTGGTGGTCAGTTTCGAACTCATGACCTCTTGGTCATCAAGGCTCCGATACCATGTCAATGAACCAATTCAATCGATTAGTTAGTTCAACTCAAGAGTTTATAGACCGATTAATTTTCTCACACTTCTCCGATGTGAGATGTTCTTTAACACTTACCATTAAAAGTGCAATGTCACCAAAAGTCATTTTCTGGATTTCTTCAAATCCTATAAAGTTGTAAAGAAAATTGGGAAATTCATTTTCAAAAATCTTTTGAAGCTTTGTCCTGCTAAACAATTGTGGCATGAAAGGGTGATTGATAGTTTTTGTTATTTGGTAATTGCGTAGTACTTTGACTCTCATCAATAAAAAAACATTATTTCCTTTCAAATCTTCTTCAAAAGTGCATATATTCGAATCTCTGATTTGCGCATGTATTCGATCTTTCTAACAGTGCATTGGAAAAAATGTATATAACAATCATTACAACGTTCTTAATATATACGATTTTTAGATTCATATTAATGAAAAAACTAACCTCCGAGTCATGAAAAATAACATTCAATGATTCGAGCCCCCTAGCATGGATGGAAACATGATATAAACTCTTATCGTTCTCGGTTTTAACATCAAAAGCGATGACCTCTCATCAATATTTCTTACAGCGGTTAAGATCTCATGTTTTGTTCGAATGGTGGATTTGAAAATGCACTTCAAATAAGCTAAATACGAAAGTGATTGGGGATGAGCGTATTTATACTATGAATGTTTTTTGCTTATTCTATTTTCCTTTTTTCAAATTTTTATTTTTTCAAATACAATGAATTTTTTCGGTAAAATCACAACCATTTGACTTACCATTTCAATATTCGTGTTTCCACCAAACTTTTTTCATTACTAACGTGTATTTTTCCAACAAAATTCGTGTATAATGAAATTACCTTATTTAAAATACCTATAAAATATAACATGCGCTGGTAGCTGCAAACATCGAAGAAGAAGAGAGAAGTCTGACATGCGTTGATAGCTGTTGACATCAGAGAAGAAGAAGAAGAAAAAGCTGACATGCGCTGATAGTTGTTGCTAACGTCAAAGAAGAAGAGAAGGCGATTGGAGGTGCCTGTTTGACTGAAGATCTATGATATTCTTTGTATTTTTTGGATCGAGGCAATGACCTATTTTTTCTCAATTGTGAGAACCTTTGATGACTTTCTTAAAGAGTAAGTTGTTGAGGTATTTTTTTCCTCTTCCTCAATTTCTCCTTTTGGCTTTGCTTTTATTTTAATTTTATTTGGATTTTATTGGTTTTACAGAAGATAAAGAGAAAAGGAAGAAAGATTGATGATTAAGAATGATGAGTGATTTGAAAGAGAAAAAATAGACTAAAAATATGTGATGGGGTGGGTTGATACGTCAATAATGGTTCTTTTTTTGTGAAAGACGATGTGAAGAACAAAGGCCCGACGGGCGACTAATGGTGGTGTTGTCTACCTGTAGTGAAGGCAAAGATATTTAGATCTCCAAGAACGATGACCTAAATACCACATTGAAATTATGATATTAATCATTGAATTATGGAATATATGGTAGATTATACACACACACACACACATACATACACACACTAGAAAACTTCTAGTACAATAACCAGAAATAGAAAAAGTAAACTAACTAAAGTACAACATCTATAATAAACCGAAGAGATTTTGGGCTAAGGTCACCCACCAAATTCACTTGCTGATGAATGCAGAGCCCTACCGCCGTCTTGACGCAACCTCCTCAAAGTACCGCAACATGAACATAACAACCTCTTTCTCATTTGACCAAGAAGCAATGCGATGCGAGTGACAACACTT